GGAGGGAGGGGGAAAAAAAAAGAAGGATGAGGAGCTGATTCCAGGAGCCCAGGCAGAGGGCGAGTGTTTTTAGAATGATGAGGGCAGCGAATGTATAGGTGTGCTTTGCACAGTTGACATGTGTATGGATCGTGATGAGAGTTGTATGAACCCCAATGGAATTATTTTAAAAAAAGATTTATCACTATTACCCACTTTGGAGTCTAAAAAAAGTCACTGTACCTTTCTAAGTTGATCTCTGTGCCTTGAGTTTAATGATGCCAGTTGATCTCCTCGGAAGCTAGTGTTTTCTTTTTTTTCTTAATTGTTTTATTAGGGGCTCATACAACTCTTATCACAATCCATACATACATCAATTGTGTAAAGCACATTTGTACATTCATTGCCCGAAGCTAGTGCTTTCTTTGGATTTTTTTGTTTTTTAAGATATCCTAATGAAATTCATGTGTTACTGAGAGAACTTGTCTGTAGCCATCCACTATTGCAGAGACATGTTTGCATGTTTTGTTTGAAATAAGCCTGTGCTTGGGATAAAATGGAAACCTAGGAGCAATACTGTGTTTACTTGCATACTTAATTCGTTAACACATGTGTTTATTATGACTCCAAGACATATGTTCTATAGATTATGCACTGTTACCATTATACAAGGAACCCCAGTAGTATTGTGGGTCACACTCAGAACTATTAACCATAGATAGCAGTGAGTTTGGTGTTTTGTTTTGTTTGTTTGTTTAGTACTATTATAAACCTGGCAGTTTAATTGCTTTGCTACAAGAGGCCTGGCATGCATGTGTTACATGTGAGAAGCTATTGTCTTTACCACATCTTAGTCTCTGACCGTCATCCTGAACTCTCATAACCTTATGGAACCATGGATGTATATGCCATGGATATTGCCCAAGCAGACAGTGTGCCCCAGTTTCTGTCATTTCTACTTCATGTCATTCGTATGTGCATCAGAATAGGACTGTGCTACGTCGGGTTTCAAATGATAAAATTTTCTGCAGTAGATATCCAGGTCTTCCAAATGCCATACGTATAGCCACATGTACCTATGTATCAATGTGTGTACATGCTCACTCATAGATAATATTAAACCTACCATATATACTCGAGTGTAAGTCGACCTGAATGTCAGCCAAGGCACTTAATTTTTTTTTTTTCACTGTTAGCTCAGTGTGTAGGCCCCAGAAGAAAGTGGGTTCTTCCTGGGGAGGGACACGGCCTTTCTTATCTATCCTCAGGCAATGCCCGGTCACTCTACAGCGAGAAGGCCCTGGAGTAAGGCTGAGAGGAACGAGGCACTTAATTTTAAACTTCATTAAAAATGTGCTGAAAAACTCAGCTTATTCACAAGTATATACAGTATTGAAGAGTGAGTGTTTTGTGGGAGTCAGCCCACAACCAGATGGATCCTAAGGGACAGTTGTGTAATTGAAGGGAAAGAATAAAGAGACAGACAAAAGTTTTTAGGTGCTCCCTCCTCCGTGTAGTCAGGTCTGAGTAGGGGGTGCGAAAGAATGTGTTCTTTCATGAACTTATATAGTCTTGGGGCAGGCAAGCACCCCACCACCACCACCACCCCCCACCATCCACGGACACCGACTTTCGTGACAAGGTGGGCAGTATTTTAACCCAAGCGGTTGTTTTGGGAGTAACATTTACACCAGTGCTAAGGGCAGGTAGAGGGGGGAGTGACTGTCCCCTGAGCGGACAGAACAACAATAGCAGCCCATGTGCTCCTTTAGATAACACTGCCGGATAGTGACTAGCCCTGTGCTTGTAAGAGGGATCATGAAGGTAGCATTGTCATGAGAGGATATTGTGGGGATGTTTTTTAATTAGAAGATTATGACTGGAACTCTCAAATGTGAAGGTCTCCACCCACCCAGAATCCTGGCCTCCCAGGCTTCCTCAATCATGAGTAGGAGAACTTTTCCACGTATACTCTCTTCCCGGTCCTCAGTTTCCCACAGTGCTTAAAATGAAAGATTCCTTTTTTTCCAGGCTTTTGTGTATTTACACAGTTTATTTTACTCTGGATCATTTGTGAGGATGAGAGAAGATGCTCTACTTGTCTGGAGACACGGACGTGCTATGTGATCCTGGTAGTAGCTGTAGAAGAGTGTCCTGTGTTTGCATTTAGTTCATAGTGATCATACTACTCTGTCATATTAAAATGGTTTACAGTATGTTACCTTTCTTTTGTAATAAAAACAAGATAACTTTAAAAGAAACCAGAAGATTCTTAAATTCATGGGAAGAATGGTTAGGGTAATAATCTGAAATACTTGAGAAACAACTTTTATTTTCTCAAGTCTGTACCCAGTAGTTTTGCTTGTGTGTGTTCACTTTAAGATTGTTTTATTAACTTATTTCCAATTTAAGGGTCTTAATGCCATTTAGTAATCAATTTAGCCTCTCTTCAGCATCAACTAGTTGAATAGGAGAAGTTTTTTTAAACATGGACAGAGTGGTACAAAGTGCTTAAAGGGAAAATTTTGCATTGCTGAGATTATAGGCTTTAGAACCAACTCAAAACCCAGCCCCCCTCCCCCGCCATTGAGCTGATTCTGACCCTCTCAAGACCCTCAGAGGTCACTTGGCACAAGTGGCAGCAATGATGGGCTCAAAAGAAAAGATTTCTTACCGAACTTTTGCTGTCACTTATTGTACTTGGATATGTAGATTAAAATAGGCTAAGAATGCATGGACAGAGGCAGCACTCCCCACCCGAATTAGAGTTAGAGGACAGGTTAACTCTGACAGTAAGGGTTCCTGGCTGCTAAGATTGTCCTGCTCACAAGGTTGCGATGTGTTTAATGCATGACAGTCATTTGGCTGAATTCTTTAAGAATACATAGTAATCCATCATTTCACAATGTTTGTGGTGTGTTTTAGTGGTGAGCTCATATTTCCTTTTGTTTACTTAGGATGGCAATTTTGTTGTTGTTGTTGGTGGCAATTCTTTAAAGGGAAAAAACCCATAGCAATCCAGGCCTGTTTTTTTGCTTTGTTTTGCAGGCTTGTTTTTCATGGTGTCTGATCATCCGTAGCTCAATATTCTCACTCTTTCAAAAGCAAATCACTGTATGTTGTTCTGTATATCAAATCCAGGATAGGTAAATCTGTAGAGACAGAGACTGGATTAATAGTTTCTTGGAGTTATAGCAAGGGAGGTTAGGGGGGAATGGGGAGCTAATAATGAGTATAAGAAAGAAGAAAGTGTTCTCAAATTGATTGTGGTTTTGAGTACACAACTCTTTAATATAGTTAAACTATTGAATTATATGACTTGTGAATTATGTCAGTGAAACTGTTAGAAATTTTTAAAAAATTCTTATTCTCCTGCCTCCTCCCTCCTACCCAAAGCAAATCACTTTCATTTTGAACTCTCAATTCTGCACTCTAGCCTTTCCTAAGTCTTGACATTTCTAGAATATTCCCTGTTCTTCCTGTGTCTCTGTGGTGTAACCTGAGCCAGGCATGCTTACTTCCTCTTGTCTGTCTAAGGCCTGTCTCCTGCCTTTCACAGATTAGTCTCCTGTGGGAAACCTTTCCTGCCGATCCAGCTGATCATACCCAACCCTCCTTCAATTTGACCACTCTTTTACGTGACCTTTTTTACCTTGTGTAATACTATTTACCTTTCTTAATATAGAGTTAAAAAACCTGAGTTGCCATTATTTGTTCATTGGTAAGTAGGTTCTTGTCGGCCGCCCAAACCTGGTCCCATGTACAACAGAAAACAACATTATTTTGGCCATTGTGTGTTTTGAGTGACTTCCAACCTAAGGGGCCATCGTCCAGCACAGTGTTGGACAGTATTCCCGTGTGATCTGTAAGGTTGGCATTGACTAATTTGGGGAAGTAGATCACCAGTTCTTTCTTCCTAGTCTGTCTTAGTTTGGAAACTCTACTGAAAACCTGTCTGCCAGGAGTGACTCTGCTGACATTTGAAATACTAGTAGCATAGTTCATAGCAGTGTAGCCGCCCCCAAGTCACCACATCGTGACACACTGACAAGTGGAGAAATATAATTGAGGTTCATGTTTGCACTTTCCATCGTTGCTATTGGTTGGCAGGTGCCAAGTGGGAAGTTTGTTTGCTTTACCTTTTCGGTAATCTCAGTTTTCTCATCTGTAAAATGAGAGTAATGATATACCTATCTCATAGAACTGATGTGAGATTAAATGAAATTATATACACATAAAGCAAAGCACTTTGGCTCGGTGTTTGTTACATAAATCCACTGAGGTGATTCAAACTCATAGCAACCTTTTATAGGGTTTTCAAGGTTGTAAATCTTCTTGGGAACAGATAGCCTTATTTTGCTCCCTTAGAGCGGCTCTGATGGTTTGAACTGGAGACTTTATAATTAGCCATCCATTGCTCACCCAACAGCACCACTAGGTCTTGTTTGGCACACTTTGAACATTAAATGAGTAAGGAGGATAATGACTGCTTTCCTCTATCCTTTGTTATATTTTTAATTTCTTGAAGACAGGAGTTGTTTTTCATTCCCAGAATTTTGCCAGTAAATGTTTGTTCAGTGGCAAAGAAACTGGCCAGTACCATGAGATGTTTTCATTCCGACTGTCTTCAGACCTGCTCGCCTTCTGTTCCTCCGCACTGAAGACTTCTTGTACAGTGTGCTGTGACTTCAACACATCGTCAGAAACTAATCAGCATCTATTTCGACCTTTAACAAGGAATATTTACCGGTTAATTGTGAATCAGAAACATTACCACGTTCAGTAATAGAATTGGACTTTCTAGACTTAAACATCTTGGAAGTTATGTTCAGTACCTTGTCGTAGCATGTCTGAGGTAGGTGCGTATGTTCTTGCAGAATGAGAGTGAATTTATATGCACGCGAGGAACCGGACCCTTGTCTTTGGAGCATGGGGAAGATGATTGAGAAGGGAGACAAGACAAAGTGGCGTGCTACTCGGCTTTTGCGGAGCCCAACCTGTGTAGTTTCAGAGGTAGTCAGAGCTCTTATTTTTGACCCACATTGACAAGGGAGAACATTCCCAGAACAATGCTTTCCTCCTCATTCCAGATGTCCTCTGCCAGCTTTGCTGCTGGGCACAGGATTTGTTTAAAGACGCTCTTCTACCTCCAGGATTTCCACCACAGGAAAAAAAAACAACCCATAATTATAGAATTAGAACATGGGAGAAAGTCGTGTGTGTGTGTGTGTGTGTGTGTGTGTGTGTGTGTGTGTGTGTGACTTTAAAACTTTTTGCTCACCAAATTTTTTTTTAGCTGAATAATCACAGTTTAAGAATGTGAACAATTTCCCCACCCGCCTGCATACACCGCTTTTGTCCTGGCCCTATGGTGTCTGTGTGGCAGGGGCCTTCATCCAAGAAGGGTAATATTGAGAAAACCTGCCTTCCTCAGAGCCACAGCCTGAGCTTTGCCTCATTTACCCTCACAGTGGTTCCCCCAAGGTGGGGGTGGAATTGGATTCAGAAGCACAGGGTCATTTTTTAGAATTCCCACTACATGCCCTACATTAAGTTCTGTGAAGATGCTTTTTGGGAGGCGGCCTAAACCACATGGTATACGGTCATTCATTCATTCATTCATTCGGTTCTCCGTGTACCAGTGCTGGTTTCTGAAGCTGTTGAAAATGTCAGTCAGGTTCTCCTGCACTAAGTAATAGTAATACCTGACATTTATATGACTTTTGTAATTTCTAAAATCCTGTTCCATACATTAATTTATTTAAGCCTCATAATAACCCCCAAGGAATAGATACTGTGTTTTTTACATATGAAGAAACTGAACTCCAAAGAAATTAAATTAATGGAGACCCAAAGCCCATTAGTAGGCCACTGGAGATCCCCTTCCAGAGGGGTCTCGGGGAGGAGATGAGCCAGTCAGGGTGTGATGTAACAACGATGAAAAATACAACTTTCCTCTAGTTCCTAAATGTTTCCTCCCCGCTCCCACTACCATGACTCGAATTCAACCTTGCAAGTCTGGGCTAGACCAGAGGATGTGACAAGATTATCCTGCTAATCTTGAGTCCAGATCTGACTGCTTCCATTTTTTGACCGTAAAGACCCAGCGAGCCAGCATGCGATCTGCTTGTAGTGGCTGCTGGGTTATCTATACAAGTAGTGTATACTGGCTTTCTGCTGCCTTAAAAACCACCACCATCACCACCACCACCTCTCCCTGAAGCCGAAGATGGCCTTATGACCCAAAGAACACAGATTCTTAGCCATTGGCTTGCTTGGCCACAGGCTGGCTGTGACTTGCAGGGACTTTACTAATTAATTTCTCTGGGCCACTGTTACAGGTTTCAGTTTACTCATCTTTAAAAATGAGCAGGCTGAACGGAATTACCTCTGAGGTTTCCTTCAACTCTCAAACTCTCTAAATTATCTATTGTGAGATCAGTATTTGTCAACAGGACGCTCTGTGTGTGCAGAGAGGCAAATACTACACACTTGAATTAAAAACTCTCATTAATCTTCTCTAAACATGGTAATTTATTTAGGCTGCTTTGCCTGTGCTCTATAATTCCTGTCTATTTACTGAATGAGCAAGTCTTTTTCTTTCCCTGAAACAGAGAGGGGAGGATTTAGCAGACATAAAGATAAATATAATCTCAAGATAAACACTTACTGATTACAGGAAGCTGACATTAATGCACTTTGTCAACTGTGAGGGCAAACTTTTCATATAATCAAAGCCACTCTAGCACGACCCTAATATTTGACAAGAATACAGAGGTAAAAAATAATTGTAAAAAAATATTCCTACTAGGGTTTCAGTTCATACACGCACGGGCTTACTCCAAACAAAGCCTGTTAACTACATTTCCATGATCAGTAGATGGCTGCAGATAACTTCTCTCCATATCTACTTGTCCTAGGCTTGTGCCTAAAAATTAAAGAAGGTCCAGTCAAATAAAAAAGGTCCGATCTGCTGGGTCAGGTCAGTTCCAGGCAGAAAGGTCAGAATCTGAAGAGGTGGGGGTGGTGGGGGTGGGGGTGTCATCCTGCTAGATTTTCTTGAAGGATACAGGACAATTATATAGGGACATATTAGAAAAAGTGTGAAGGGAAAGCTGAATTGGTGAGAAAAGGGCAAAGGAAATTGTACCCAGGAATGTTTTTCCATCACAACAATGTGCATACTCATTCTTCCAGGGTACCAAGGACTGGAATATCATTGGGAAACCATTACCCCATCTACCCTACAGCCCTGATCTTGCCCATTCAGACTTATTTTTATTCCCGTGATTTAAATGGAAGAGCACAGAATTCTTAAGAGTAGGTTTAAAACTAAAAACTCACTGCCATCAAGTCAATCCCAACTCATAAGGACCCCACTGGACAGGTTAGAACTGCCTCTGTGGGTTTCTGAGACGGTAACTCTTTATGGGAGTAGAAGAGTTAGAGAGCTGGAAACACCAAGGCCTTCAGAAGTACATAGACCTAGAGGGAGTCTATGTAGAGAAACAACAGCTTCACATTTTAGTATTGTATTTAAAAAAAAAAGTTTCTATTTTTTTTTTTTTTTTACTTTTCATGTTTGTCATGAGATTTTGGAATTATGGGTACAAACTTCCAAAATGACGATATTGTCTGCTTGTGTCAGAGCCTTGATATTTATTGTTTCACTCAAATTTATAGTGGCTCAGTAAGGACATAGTAAAATAGTTATAATCATAGTTAGAAAATAGGTGTTAGTACCTAATTGTACATGGTGTTGTGAATTAATATCTAGGAAGAAGCAAGGGAAATTGCGAATGCAGAAGTTCTAGAGATAGGCGTTAGCATTTCCTAACCTGCAACTCTGTTGTAATTCCTTAGTTAATAATTTTAGCGCACCAGTTAATGAAAATGTAAGCCTAACAGGTATTTAGGTAGGTTAAATGAAAAAATATATAGTAGTATGTAATAGAATGTAAGATGAAAGGTTACCTAATTTCCATCCCAAAAGTATGAGAAGTAGAAACTGTTGAGTAGACTGGTTGTTTTTTAGTGCTTAATTAATTTTTTTTTAAAAAGAAAAGAATATTTAGGCATTTTCAGTTAGCATACTTTCTAATATAATTTTGAGGAGATTTTCCTTTAAAGTATCACAAAAGTTGTATGCGTGTCTGTATTTCTTGATCTAGCATGAGCTGGTTAGAAAAATTTTTAAATAACAAGATGGCAATAATATACCACTAATTAAGTATATACTGTACTTAAAGTTGACATCTTGATACAGATCATTGGTTTTTATTGATCCACTTAGACCTTTTATGGTTTTACTTAGGACTTGTAGCTTGCTTGTATATTTTAGTTAGTAAAATATTATGAACATGACTATAAATAGCAAAACAGCATTTGATTTAAGAAAAAAAATACACTGTCACGCTTCAAAATTGAAAATTCATGAAGTGGGCATTTGAGATTGAATAATAAGGGAATAATTAGTAGGAATATATGGTTGTGTACAGGATCCAGTCAAAATTATTAAATACATATTTATCTCCTTAGTAATATAAGTAAACAATAATTATTTTTAAGTCTGTGTTATAGTCATTAAAGCCAACTTTTTAAAGCCAGTCTTAAGCAATATTTATAAGAGCCCATTAATTTTGTATACTTATTATATTGCAAGGTGTCCTCGTGGTGCTGTTGCGTGTGCTTTGGACTGCTAGTCACAAGGTCGAGGGTTCATGAGCTACTACAGGGGAGACTGATGAGACTGCTCCCGTGATGATTTACAGCCTCCAAGACCCCTTAGAGAGCCACTGTGAGTCTGACTCGCCTGGGTGGCAGTGGTCGTACTTACTGTATTAGAGGAGCCCTGTGGTTAGTGGGGTACACTTTTTGAGTTGCTGACCACAAGGTCAGTGGTTCAAACCCACAGGAGAAAGATGAGGCTGTCTGTTCCCATAAAGTCTCAGAAGCCCCAAGTGGCAGTTCTACTCTGTCCTATTGGGTCACTGAGTTAGAATGGACGTAAGTGAAATCAAATCCAAACTAAACCCACTACCCTTCTAGTCAATTCCAACTCATAGCAACCCTCTCGGATCAAGAAGTGAATTGGGTGAAGGTTGTCAGATCAGATCATCAGTTTTACATTCAACAATTCTTACATACATAGTTTGTTCATCTCATTGATTGCAGTCTCCTCAGTGTAACATCACTTAAAACCATTCCCTCCCCATATTTCCTATTTCCATTTCTTCTACTCTACTAGCCCTTCTGAACTTTGTTCCTGAGTGAATGCTGCCCTTTGAATCCCAAATAGTTGATTATTCTAAGGTATGCTACCTTACTAGTGGTATTATAACCTGTATGGACCTTCTATTGATTGGTTGAAAATTAGGCCATGGGGCTGAACTTATTTCCAGATCTAAAGCTGCATGGTCTTGGAGGGTCCAGTCAGTCTCAAACCAATTTTGAGTTTTGTTCCACCTCCTTCTACCACTCCTAGGACCTTCTAATAGGATTCCTTTCAGAGCAGCCAGTAGTTGGTAAGCAGGGAACTAGTTTTGCTCTCAGGGTCACCAACACTGATGTTTGCACGCTCCATTAGTCCCGTGGATTAATGATTTTCAACTATCTTCTATTGCGATCCTTCTTTCTTGTGGACAGGGAGAGCCTCTCACAAGCTTTCAGTCCTAGTTACTATTCACTAAAGTAGGAAGTGGAGCGTTGTCTTGGTGGGCTGTGTTAAGCCAACTGAGTTTGATGCCCCTTGAGACTATGGCCCTGAGCTCCCAGGTCCAGTGACCCTCAAGGTGTTTGGCTATGTCTGAGAAGTTCCATAACTTCACCCCCTGTAAGATCTGCTAGATTCATGGATCTG